GTCTGACACTTTTATATATATCTTAAATTAAAGCTAATGTAATATACTTTATTATGGAAAAAAAAAATTTCGGACTTTATTTTATCTTCATGGTGAAAATGGCTACCGAATGCTATTTTCGTGTGAAAATTTTCGATTTTGTATTTTACATTTTTAACTTTAAAATGCTATAACTTTTTGAAAAATGTATGAATCAACACAATTTTTTCATGAGAAGTAGTATTTATGTACATCTTTCATTCGACATACTTTTTTTTTTAATCGGACTATTTCCTTATATACAAGGGGGGTTTAAATCTTAAAAATGCATGTAGAAGGTAGAACTTTTTCAACTTAACTTTTGAAAGTGTTCCGGAAAGTCTGACACTTTTATATATATCTTAAATTAAAGCTAATATAATATACTTTATTATGGTAAAAAAAAATTTTGGAATTTTTATGGTAAAAACTAACATCAAAGTGGATAAAAAAAATTCGATTTTTGTAAAAAAATTCTTTTTTATATTTTTAACTTTATAATGCTATAACTTTTTGAAAGATGTATGGATCAATATAATTNATAACTTTTTTAAAAATGAACATATCAATATATATTTTTTTATATAGATGCATGATATCATTACCTTTCATTTGGTATATTTTTTTGTTATATCTGATCCTTCAACTGTCCACAGGGGGGGATTTAAAATGACAACTTTTTCAAAAAAAATGTACTTTTTCAACTTAAATTTTGAAAGTGTTCCGGAAAGTCTGACACTTTTATATATATATTAAATTAAAGCTAATGTAATTTACTTTATTATGCGAAAAAAAAATTTCGAACTTTATTTTATCTTCACGGTGAAAATGGCTACCGAATGCTATTATTGTGTGAAAATTCTCGATTTTATTTTTTACATTTTTAACTTTATAATGCTATAAATTATTGAAAAGTGTATGGATCAACATTATTTTTTTATGAGAAATAATATTTTTTAATAATCCCTTTTTCATTCGACATACTTTATCTTAATCGAGATATTAATAAGGAACCAGCAGATCAAGTAGCTTTTGGAATAAAACACCAATTTTTTTAAAATTAAACACTATCTAAAGATTTGCATCGAAGCGTTTATTTTTGATAGTGATTTTGATCACTGTCAGATATCATTATACTTGATCCAACTATGCCACGTCACCACTGTGCCGCGACCCCCCCTGTGCTGGGTTTTTTTTTGTATTCATTCTATATTGAAATAATTTTTTGAAAAATCGATAGATCGAAATTTTTCTTGTATATACTTTAGATGTTTACCACGCCGATGACTTACATTTTTTGGAAATTGAGGTTGATTTTGACGTCTAAAAGATTTTTTGTTTCTTTTGAAAAAAATCTGTATCCGTGACTGCCATAAGCTTAATTTAGAAAATTTAGTTTATGATTACTTCCAATTAATGTTTTAACATATGTACAAATTTTGGTGTATTTAAATAACTCTTTATATTCTATTCTATGGTTTTGAACTAAATACAATATACTAGAATGGTTTATTTATAAGAAAAAACTAATAGCCGCTAATGAAAAAAATCACAAATTTAAAAACTATCTAAATGAATTTCCAAATTATGTAATTCAAGTTGAAACTTCTGATATATACACAATTTGAAATATAAAAATATGTCTTTATAAAATATACATCTCATAGCTTAATATTTTGAGTTTGGTGTACTGAAAGCTGGTTTAGGCCCAATAAATGAAATTGCATTTTACTTTGATCCCTTATGATTGTTTGATAAAATAATGAACATGTTTCGGTACTTTGAGTTTATTGTGACATGTTTTGTGATCTTCTCAATTCCTATGTAGAAGAAATTGAGTTCCAACCTATCAAGTTTCGACATCTTTAATAACTTTTGATTTAGTGAATATTTTACGTTACTTTTATTTTTTTAATTTTAATTATTAAGGATTACATTATAAATGTATTTTTATTATTTAATTTTAGTTATAAAAAAAAAATAATAATTTTTTTAAAATTTCAAAATGGTCATTTTTTTAGCTATTTTCTTATAAAAAAAATCGATTGCTTTATATTAATTTATAAATAAATAATTTTTGAGATAAAGTGATTTTAATATATAGAGCGAGTGTGTACAGCTTATACTGGTGTATATTAATAACGCATTCCTCGACTGCACAACAAACTCACTTTATATATTAAAACGTTTTTAATGCAATAAGTATTTATCCTATAGTTGATATCAATCAATCAAAATTTTTTATAAGAAAACATCTAAAAATAGATATTTGAAAATTAAAAAAAAAATTATTATTATTATTTTTATAATTAGAAGTAATTACATTTTTAACGCAATCTAAAATTGTTAAAAAAGTATAAGTTACGTAAACTATTCACTGGATAAAAACTTATGAAAGATGTCATAACCTGGTGGGACACTTGTATATTCAATTTTTTAAACAGTACTTTGAAATAAAGTAATATTACTATCTATCCTATATATTACAATAAAAATTTAGTCATATATTTGGCTAATACACAGGCTTAACAGGATATAATACATGTGTTAGTTAATTCTATTAAAATAAAAAAACACGTTTAAAATTATTCTTATAAAATTTATGTATTTTAACTGTAAATGATAATTTGTAAAATTATTTGTTCTATATTATTTGCTGGAACGCTGATTAGCCGTTTTATTAATTTAAGTTAACTATTTGTAGGCACTGTATGGTTATAACGTACATTTTATCGATTTGTTGAATCATTATATAATATCAATAAAATGTACGTTAGTTTAGATGCAATTTGATTTTAAACGACGAAGATTATTTATTATTAATCTACTTAAATTTGTTTTTTCTTTATTATAGTATTAAACGTTAAAATAACGTTAAACGAAATAACAAACTAAAATATTTTTTTATTATTTCAAAAATTACACTATTAAAATGAGATTTGCTGATAAAATACAATGTAAGTACTTATAAAATATTTTTCAAAGTAAGTTTTCTCATGAATAATATATTCATATACCTATTTACTTATTTAAATTATTTTATTATTTTAAAATATTTTCACAGAATATAACAGATTTTTAACTTTATAAAAATTTATAATGTATATCAAGAAGGATTGATTTATAGTTAACCATTAAAATTCTCTTTAAATAATTTGAAATTTAAATTAATTTGACTTAATTACTAGTCATCGTATTAGTAAAATGTTATTATTATTCAAATAAATATTGTATTTATTAGTATTTATGTAATGATTTGTCTAATTTTTCTTCAATCTTT